GGGAGCTTATTGCTAAGGTAAGGAGGCGCAGAACGGGGGGTCGGGTTCCCCCCACCCGTTCCCTGGCGGTGCTGCCCTTTCGCTTTGGTGTTGCGTGTTTCGCGTTTGCTCCCGCTCCTCTCTGTACTGCTGTTTCAGTGAGCACCAGAGCTGCCCGACAGGACTTCGGTGTTTAAATTTGAAGTGCTTTTTCGTTTTGAGTTACAACAAGTTTAAACTGGTGGCCTTCCCCAACCCTTTCAGCTGTTAAATGTAAGGGGGGGGGGACATCACATTTCAAGGCAGGAGTTGTGTTGTGTCTGGGACGTTGTCTCTTTGAAATCTGTCAGGATCAATCTCTTGGTAATTAAGAAACTGGTAGGTGCTCCAGGAGGAATGGGAAGAGTTGAAGTGGGCAGGAATTTTAAAATACGTTTAGATAAAATCACTAGTCTTTCATTGTGGCTTTTCCTTTCTTATTTCTCCTTTTCTCTCCCCACTCCACCAAGTAGAATGAGAAGACCAATTTTTGTTCAGCAGTTCTTAATGGAGCATGTGTTGGATTTTTCATTGAAGTTCAGTATTAAGCTGCTGGTTTAGGCTTAATACATTTTGAATACGATTGCAAATACGATCATTTGAGCATAATGGGGTCCTTGTTTGACTGTAGTTACTCAGTTAAATGCAGAAATTCAAGGTTCACAAGCAGTATGTTGGAACACTTTATTGCAGTAGCAATAGTAAACAGTGATATAACTGAGCAAAACTTTTGTTTACATCATGACCACAAAGCCAAAATACAGTTGAATTGTGCAGCCTTAAGGTGGCTCTAGGGTTAACCTAACCTGTTCTGAGATCACAAATGTTTTCTTTTTAGGCGTGGATTCTCTGATAGTGGAGGAGGACCCCCAGCCAAACAGAGGGATCTTGAAGGTGCATCCAGTAGGTGGGTGCAAAAACTGATGCAGAGAACTTGCTTTTCAGAATGAGAATTTGTAACAGTAAATCAATAACTGTTAATAACTGATGACTTTCACTGTCTTCTTTGGAGATTACGTATTCAAGACTTGTTGGAATTAATTTGCATGATAGCAAAATGATGAAATCTTTTTCATACCTTAGAGCAATATAAAGATGGTAGCACTAATATAATGATATAGCAATACAAGGACACGTGGAATTTTCTGTTTTACTGGATGTTCAATTTGCTGTATTAGTTCTGCTTAGTAGCCATGTTTGTTTACAGTAAACATAACTTGAATTATAATTGAAATCTCTTCAATAAATTGAATGCAGGCAGTCTGACAATGGACTCAAATTTTGAGTTTTCACATCTGGATGCAAATCCATCAGATGTGACTGATAACAGTGAGCTTAAGTGCTGTGGGCACTTAATGTGCAGTGGTAGTTCTTGGCCAAAGCAAGGCTTGCTTTGGAATTTTTGAGTTAATGGAAAGTGAACACTGGGAAACAGGAAAGTACTGTGCCACAAAGATGAAATTTGGCTTTGTGCCATAAAGCCAAATAACTTCTATTTAAATTATTTATTTTAATTTTTATTTTATTTAAATTATTTTTTTAGATTGTTTTTTGTTAAAACCTTAGTTCATTCATGTTCTCAGATGCTAATCCTTCTGCCCCTCTTCACTCGTTTTTTAGGTATTTGGCTAGGTAACTTAAATAGCATTTCCCATTTGAGAAATCATACCAACCTTTCTACCTCAATGCATTTCAATCTGTCTAGTGATCCCTTTATACCAGTAGCCATTTTAGAGGGTCAGCAAAAAGGAAAGTGCTAAAATTTAAAACAAGAAATAAATTCCAAATGTATTCTACCATCTCAAATATGGTGGTGTTGTGAAGTCTTGTGTTTTGCTTTACTGTGCAAGTTGTGTTAAAATTTGAACTATTTTGTCTCAGTGATTTTCACCGATAGTAGAATTTGTCTGTAAAATGTTATGTACTGGTTGTTGGAAGTGGGGAGATTTTTCCTGGTAGTGTTGGTTCTTCTGACTTGTATTTTTCTCCTGTTAGAAGAGATGCTCTCCTAAATGACATTGTTCTCTAATGGCCACTAACACTTTTTCCTCCTCAGGCTGGGTGGAGAACGTCGGACAAGAAGAGAATCACGCCAAGAAAGCGACGCAGAGGATGATGATATTAAAAAGGTAATATATGATAAGAGGAGCTGTGCAGGAAGAAACTTACCTGCAACGTGATGAACAAACTAGTTTGCTTTTCTTTATTGTAGCCAGCGTTGCCATCTTCTGTTGTTGCTACCTCCAAAGAGCGAACACGTCGAGACCTTATACAAGATCAAAATATGGATGAGAAAGGAAAACAAAGGTATGCAGAAATCTCTAAACACTAACGTGATACTTTTGAGTGCTAGCATAGGAAGTACCTTTACATTTAAAGAGTATAACACACAGGCTGTAATGTATCAAAGATTGTGTTGAAGA